GCTTGTTGTTTGTTGTTTCTCCGATCACAAATGCAGACATGGTTATATGTTTACGCAGCACGATACGCAACGCGTAAAAAAACTGTATAAGTCATTATAATCAGTAATTATGTCCCCACTGGATGCAACAAATGCCTCATTTGTAACGAGTTTTATTGGTTTTGTCTCGTCCTGAGATAGTTTTGGGAGGCTAAGGTGACAGATAGGGTGGCTGAAACCCACCTAAAAAGGGTTTAGAACTGCCCCTGGTATAGCGTGCGTAATTATACTGAAACATAAATATATAACCAGTTTACCTGATTCAATGTGATGGCTGAACCTGTTTCTGAGATAACAACATGCCAATCAGTGGTTGGATTTCCGACACGGCTAACCGTAAATCATCTTACACTGTCAATAAGCGGCCAACTCTGCTCTAACTTTCGACTAGCAGTGGGAGTCAGATTGCCCCCTAGTGGATGGCTAAAGATTTGTTAACTCATATTCATAAATTCTCAAGGGAACGTCTCTGAATTAACTGATGCTCGCGCCCCCCTTGACAGGTGCTGGCCAGGTGCCCCACAGGTTGAAAACCCCTGTGTTAAGGGGCGTAACATTTCCTTCACACGTTTGAGGCATTCGGCCAATCCCAACGCACTGGATAACGGGCCAATCAGAGCACACCTCGCTTTTTTTAGAACGATGAGCTTTGTAAAAATCGATGTGTTTCAGAAAGTCGGGGCATAGAGGAGAAACAATAATGTACATTAGATGGAAAATAATGTGTTTTTTTAACCTTAAACCGCATAAACACATTGCATTACACCAAAATACTATATTTTACCACAAAATAATGTTCTTTTTAGCAACGTCATATGACCCCTTTAAAACTGTTACGCTCAGTGTTAAGACGTTTGTCTGAAGCTCGGCTTACGGTAAACTTAAAGTCGGCATGAAACGGAAGTTGCGATTGTCTTTTCTTCTCTACTGTGACGTATATCTGAGTGAAACGGAATCTGAAATGAGAGGGCGGGACTTGATTGCGTCCTTCTGGAATTGATTGGATCGTTGGAAGGTGGGGCGTTGCAAACAAAATGGAGGCAGATCTGAATGTCAGTTTGCAGTTATTGGTGGGGGATTTCTCTCCACTGGATTCACAGCTGACACCCAAGCATGAATAAATGTTTTATTTATTAAGGATGACGACGATCAATGGCACAAAACATGCCTAAACAGCTTGCGCGAGAGAGAGAGAGAGAGAGAGACTGTCTGAATGACTGAGCGCGTCCTCCGTCAGGTTAAGTCATATTCATTAAAAAAATTAGTTTGCGATGTCCTAAGAGTAAAGTTGTCGTAATATCCTAATATCTTTTCAATGTTTAGGGGTAAGGTACTCCATCATGACTGGTGTCAGTGCTATAAAGTGAAGCATCAGCTTCAGCTTTTCCCCCTGTCGTTTATCCCAGTGTTTACCCCTCACATCACTAGTGAGTTTGCCAAGGCATCTGTGATGTTTCTTGGGAAAGTAGTGGGAAATAGGGAAATGCGTCCAGTACATGCAAATGTCAAAGCCATCCAGAACTTTCCTTCTCCGACAACCAAGAAAGAACTTATGAGGTTTTTAGGACTACCGATCTTTTTGTCATAATTTTTTGACTGTAGTCGCACCACTTGCAGACTTGTTGAAGGGCAAGGTAAAGTTTGTTTGGTCTCCTAGCTGTGAGACGGCTTTTGAAAATGTTAAGTCTCTGCTGTGTTCATCCTTTGATAAACCTTTTACGCTGCACGTTGATTCCAGTAACGTGGGAACTGGAGCCGTCCTTCAGCAGAGTGATGATGATGGAGTAGATCATCCAGTTAGCTTTTTTTCAAGAAAGTTTACCTCATATCAGCGTCACTATTCTGTGGTTGAAAAGGAAGCGTTGGCCCTTATTTGGGCACTACAGCATTTTGCCGTGTATTTAAATTCAGGTGCCCCTATTGTGATATACACGGATCATAATCCACTGACATTTCTGAATTCCTTAGTGTCCGAATCAGTGGCTGATTCGGTGGTCTCTGTTTTTGCAGTCGTTCTGCCTGGATATTCGACACGTCCGAGGTTCGGAAAATGTGGTAGCTGATGCGCTGTCTCGCGCTTCAGATGCATAATGTAGCTATGGTCTTGGGCTAATTTAGATGTTTTCTTCCTTCGGTGTGTTTTTTTTAGGAGCTGTTTTTGGTTCTGATTCAGGTATGCTATTTGGCTGATTTGTTTTGATACTTCATTACAGGGATCTTTGTGGGAGTCCCTGCCTTATGGGGAGGGGTGTGACGACCCCTGCCATTTGTTCGTGGGATCGCTGTTGAGCCCACAATCTACCTTGATTGGCAGCCGTTTGAAACACCTGTTCTCTATCAGACGCTCCGTTTAAAAGAGGCCTCCGCTTGAGCCAGAGTGGGGCTTCGGTTTTGGATATTTGGTTTTGTGGCTTGTTTGGTTTGCTTTTGCCCTCGCACTTCAACACCGCAGTACACTACATCTCCCTACAGCCATGCATTTCACATTACACACTGGCATTACTGATGTTTTTCCAATACATGGTTGTTTTCTTTATGGTTTTCTTTACTTTTTTCATGTGACTCTAATTTTTGAATAAATTATATTTTGAGTCAACAATTTGGTTTTGCATGTGTCCTCTGTTTGTTGCTTCCCTTGAGCCATGGGTCGTAACAGACACGAATCAGCTCCCTGTGCTAACACCGTTCTACTGGACCAATGACGTCTGTACCAGCTGGTGCCACCCTTTGTAAGTTCATCTACCAGTGAAAGAAAAGACTCCTGCGGGGTCATGGGCAATCCCACTATCGTAGGCTGGCAGAACAGCTCCTAAAATAGGCCGGGAATGAAAGAGAGGCAGCAGTTGTTTGGTCATTGTCCCACTTATAGCGGCGACCTGCTGTGGCATGGCACTATGATATGCTTGTGATGTGTGAGCGGTGTGTGTGGTGACGCACATGGAGTTTGGTGTCCATGCAGTGACGCAGATGGTCTTGTGCTGCCATGCACTTTTTAGGGCAGAGGATGGCTGGATCGGATCTCTGATTCCATGAAGGTGGTTAATATATAGCAACATCACTGACCCAAACTGGATATGCTCAGACTAAAAATGGTCACCTTTGTTTGCTTGTATGTGCACAGGAGTAAGGCTAACTACTTGTCGGCTTCCTGTATTCAGTTGGGGACATTCTTTTATTTTTTTGTTTTTTTATCTTTGAGTACTACTTTCCTCACTCCCTTGTGGAATTTATCTAGTTGTCTAACATAGTGTTAGTCTTGAAAGTGCCAATAAGAATGTTTTGAAAACCACAATCCGTTCATTTTGTAAGGACTTAACATTTAATGATAATAATAATAAAATAATACATACAGACTTTCATTAAAGAATCCTGAAAAAAATGCATCAGGTTTTCCACAAAAAAGCAGCACTGTTTTAAACTTTGATTGAGAAATGTTTCTTGAGCAGCAAATAAGCATATTAGAATGATTTCTGAACGATCATGTGACACTGAATACTGGCGTAATGGCTGCTGAAAATTCAGCTTTGCCATCACAGGAATAAATTGCATATATTATAAAATATTTTATTTTTTAAAATATATAAAACTGTTATTTTAAATTGTATTAATATTTCACATTTTTACTGTATTTTGATCAAATAAATGCAGCTTTGATGGATATACGAGACTTCTTTCAAAACATAAATCTTACCAACCCAAACTTTTTAACAGTATATAGATTAGCAAATATTAAAATACATTGATATTTTTAATCTTTAGCATTCTTTCGTGGTCAGGCCAGTACAAATGTTGGCAAGGCAAGTAAAAACCAGAACTGGCCAGTAGACAAAACTTTGTTTGGTTATAACATCTGGCCAACCTAAACTGTAGGTTGTTCAGTTGAACAATGAACTAGCAGCATTCCATCCCCTCCAGACGCCGCTGTGCAGAGAGCTCTGAAAGCGGCGGCATTGTGCCCCCACCACTATTGTTAGGTCAGACAAAGCCCTTTATCAAAGGCACTGCTTCTGTGCACCAGGGTCAAAGCAGGCCACCATACAACTCCACTGCCCGCCAGAGCTGTAAGGGGATAGAGAAGGTAATGGTAGGTGAAGGGCATGTCAGGTTATTCTTAGACGGGACAGGTAGGACATGGTAAGGTTTGGTTGAGGATGAATATAAAGATCATCATGATGGTCAGGCCGAATTCCTTTTAAACAGAATTCTGTTTAAAGGTGTCATATCATGAAAATCTTACTTTTCCAGGTTTTAAGTGCTATTATAATCAGGTCCCCAGTGCATCTACCAACCAAGGAAACGTGAAAAAGATTAACCCAGTAACTTTGTTTTGGTAAG